CCATGGCTATGGTGGACCGATGTATGAGTCAGCAGTGAGGGGGAACTTCGGACATTGATTCTGGATCATTCATTCATTGTTATTATTATTATTAAGAGGAATAAGATTGGGGGAAGTTGGAAGGAGGAGGAAGGTAGAGAGAGAAGGGGGAGTTGTCATTTGTCTTGCTGGTGTACTTCTTCTTCTTCTTCTTCTTCTTCTTCTTCTTCTTCTTTCGCTCTCCTCTGGTCCATATCTCTTTGCAAGTGCTTTCATTTCTTTCGCAATTTGGTGGCATTGTCTTTCATTGTGAATTGCACTTGGGAAATGACCAGGATCGTAACAGAAGAAAGAAAAACTTCATATTCTCCAGAAGAAGCTATCATTGAACTTTATTGTTGAATTTGTTCTGTTAGTGGAGACATCTCATTTTCAGAAAACATACGCAAAGAATTATATCATAAATTTTTAAAAATAAGATGCCGAATTGGAAGTATTGGACAATTAAATATTAATAAGAAATTTAATTTAGACCTACCAGAAGAAGAAAGATCCTTAGTTCCTCAAGACCTTATAGCAGCAATTAATTCTCTTATCGAAAAAACGCTTTAAAAGCTTCAAACCCAGTTCTCAGTGCCCAACTTTCCTCTATAATCAGACCCTGTCCAACTTCAGGTAATACCCTACTTTTCGCGTGTGCCGAATTATGTGTACCCAGTCCCACACACCAACCGGGACAGAATAGAAGCGGTATTCTTGTTCTGAAAAAACAAAAGAAACAATTACGAAGGAAACAACTTTTGGCCGACAAGGGGTGGAAGATACGGGGGGAACCTCCTGATGAGACCACGTAGCTGGGGTTGAAACGGGCACCCTTTGGTGAGATATCACCAAATACAAAAATAACTCCCCATTTCTGCATGTGTCTCAGTTGGGGCACAATTGCTTCACTGCCAAAAAATAAAAAATAAAAAAATAAATTGACCCCTGTAACCCCTGTTTTGGTGTTGCCCGGGTACCCCGGGTGGACCGCCACCCGTGCAAGGGCGCCCAGGGCCAGGCGGCCCTGGTAACCTAGGTACGCACAAGATTTACCCAGGGATGTGCATAATTTATGCATTCCATAGTTGGGTAAAACTGCAATTTGGCAGTACGAGCGTTGGCCGGCCTCAGGTCCCAGGCAAAAAAATTGCATAGGCCATTTCCCGGGTATAGATGGAAGTTGGGCACTGGGAGTGGGTATAGAGGGTATTTCAAATCTTTAAATGGGCCATAATTTGCCACAAAACTTGACAAAAGCTAACTTGCCGTTTTTTTAATTCAAAACTTCAAGAGGGGTCCCCCCCTACCATTTTCTTTCAGACACAAAGCGACCCTATCACAAATGTATACAAGCTACCTTTCTGGCCCGACGCAGTCATGATGAGGTGAGGGCGCGATCACAAATGTATACAAGCTACCTTTCTGGCCCGACACAGTAATGATGAGGGCGCATTACGGTAATGTTTTCCCATCGGGACTCGATATGCCCATCAACAATTAGATCAATTTAGATGTATGTAGTATGTACCATTTAGCCACATGGGCTAGGCATAGCCAAGCATTTGTCGTTCATTCCTTCTAGTTCGTTTGCCTTCTTGCCCTCTGTGACACCCGACCACATTTCCGGCAATTTCTTCTAAAGCTGAAGCTGTTAAATGGCCCCATTTTTTGCGGGAAGGATTGTGACGTCCCCGGCCTCGGAGATTGTTCACGATAAAGCTGTTTTCTCTTGTGGCAAAAAGGGAAAAAAGGCAAACCGTAAAGGAAATCTTCTTCCTTTCCTTCCACGTTATGTTTTGTCCAATTTTCATAACTGAAGCAAACTCTTTGTTTCCTCAGTATACCTGATTGCCGTCTGAGGTCTCCAGGAGTAGTGTGTCCATTTGCCCCAGGCCACAGCTATGGCAACATCATAGTACCCTATGGCAAGTGCGGCGAAGACGTATGCTGTGTCATATATTGACGTATCGCTCGGAAGCAGTTTCTTGGCTATGATAATACCCAGCTTGGGAAGAACGGCAAAGGTAGTTGCCGCTGTTGATGACCCCCCATCCACCCAAACACACACACAGACAAACACACAGAGGGTCAGCATCTCTCTCTCTCTCTCTCTCTCTCTCTCTCTCTCTCTCTCTCTCTCTCTGTGTGTGTGTGTGTGTGTGCACGTGTGTGTGTGTGTGTGTGTGTGTGTGTGTGTGTGTGTGTGTGTGTGTGTGTGTGTGTGACTGCACCACGACAACCCCATTTCCACCCAGATGAGTAGATCCGAAATTGACACATCTTTTACCTCACATATCTATCCACAAAAGGAAAGCACGCTGGGAACCAAAAGAAAGAAATAGCAGACAATATGAAGTACACTCAAACAGTTGTTTGCCTTTTCCTGTGCAGTTCTTTCTTCTCTTTCCTTTAGCCTTCTTCGTGGTTTCTCTTTATTTCTTCATTTAGCTCCCCCTTTACTGTGCCTCCCACGTACAGGGCTAAAAGAAGATCTCAAGGCATGGGGGTAGCTTGGGAAGACCGATGGAAGGTGGGGAAGCGATGGGGGAATCCCTCTACTAGGCAGGATAGGAATGTATAGTTCGACCTGCGCATACTACACATCACGCCGTTGTGCAGAGATTTGAAGTTTGAATCCACCTATGAGGGGAATGCCCCCTGTGACAATGCAGTACAGTGCTACGTCTTTTGCATTGTGACAGAGGCAACACTAAAAAGAAGACCGTGGATGCCTTTTTTTTATTTATTTAAAGAAGAGCGTGGAGGTTGAAAAGGTGGCAAGGGGAAGAAAGACGGGATGATTTCGCAGCGCAGCCTTGCTGCTCGACAGTCTTAGAAGGTCGAGGACGGAAACTCAGCCCATCCTAGAGACGAAAGAGTGGGACTGTCCCCAGGTATGATGTTCCCCCTTCCCGGCACTTGGAACATGTACTACCCCCTTGTGGATACAAGTCCGTTTTGCCGTGTGGGTGGCAGGGGTTAGGTAGCAGCTTAGACAAGTCCCGTGGAGCACATATGTTGTACAACAGACATATGCAGACTCATAGATCACGAGGCTTGGAATAAACAGACTGACCAATCATCTGATCGGATAAACAGGGGTTAACCCCCATTGAAGCGTGGGTAAAGCTAAACCGGCCAAGGTCACGTCCCTGCCATCTGCCTGGCTAATCGACCACACCCACTTGGAGCAAAAAGGGAAGGCACTCCCATGGTTTCAAAGGTGCACAAGCACCTTTCCCTCGTGAAAGAGGGAAGAGATCATCGAACACATCTTTATGCAATGCCCGGTGGCACTGTTTACATGGCCATGGTGGGACCACATATGGCGCAAGATAGTACCAAACACTCCCTGGCCTTGGTCCTTGCAGACCATATTAACAGGACATTGCCCCTCAATGGTGACCTCTCCCAATTTCACAAGTAGCCTGTACAGTCTAGGAAGAAGGTCAGTTCTTTGGGCCCTTTGGTGGCAGCGCTGCCTCCTGGTGATGGGAGGGGTGAAGATAGAGGGGTCAGAGTTAACGGGGCAAGTGAAGGAGCTCGTCCAGCTGGAACTGATGCTTAAATGGCAAGCTCTTAAATCACGACTTGACATCCTTCAGACTGAGCAGGATATCAAGCAGGCAATTACAGCATTCTTCATAGACTGGCTAGGGGATCAGCGGGAGGGAAGGATACCTCGGGTAGAATGGGGGGGTGACCAGGCAGACTCTGTAAAACAGGGCCCACCCAGGGACTACCGTTTAGTATTTAAAGACTGGACTACCGTTGAACCCTCCTTCCCAATGAGACCCCCATCTGATTTCCCTGACCCCTTCCCACCTCACCCCCTCTCGTTGGCGGATATTCAGATGTGAGCACAGCCGCTGCAACAGACAAGACCCATCATCCACCCCGGTGCCTCCCAGGGGAACAGCTTCAACGCCGGAACCAAGCGGACATTGGCAGGAGAATATGAAGACCAGAGCTTGGCCAAGAAGTGACTGAAGAAATGGACATCAGCTAGCAGCAAAAAGATTTTAAGCTCTACTCATTCTTTACCATCCATACACTCATGGCGATGGAAGATGCTAGATACACCAGGATAGACGAGGCGCCCTGTTCAAAGGGTGAAGAGGCACTTATGCTTTCATAACCTTCCTAGCCGCTCAGTCAATCCCCCTGGGTGTCCTGGGGTAATCAATGCTGGCGGACGGCTCTCGAACTATTCTTGTGGATGATCAAATTATACAGGGACGCTGGACCCGGTTTCCAGCAGGTGCAGCTCCCCACCAATAGATGGAGCAGCCAGGGACAGCTACTAGCGGCGGCTGCTCTTATCACCCCCTCTAGTAAGTGGTTGCTGGTTTTCTTTAAAAAAAAAGAATAAAAAAAAAGCGTGCAGATAGGTGCAGAGTACAGACCGCTAACGGAGCCGAGTAATCGAATATGCACAACCTAACAGACTACAGACCAGCTGAGTAATGGATCATGTAGATTACAGCTGCAATGGGTTGGCGGAAGTGCTAACTTCTAAGGGTCGGGTTCTCGTAGGTTAGACCTTGGCCAGATGGTCATTAGACACTGGTTATGGTAGTATAGTAAGGGTACTCTTGGCACGGACCCCTGATGGGGGGCACACGACGTCCTCATGGGGCCTCACCATGCCTAGCATCCCAGGGTGCCCATGCGATGAGGCCAGTTCGATAGTGCTTCAACTCGGGTTGGGTCTTCCTGCCCAGCACTGCTGCCTGTGACTGCTGTCCACAAGGGTCATCCGCCAAATACTGCTAAACGCAGCTACAGAATGCATCGCACCATATATTTAGAGACACACACATCACACACATTACACGCAGAGTTCGTGCATCAGAAGTTAGGATGCAATAAAGCACTGCCAAATGCTGCTAAATACTAGCATTCAGTACAGCATTGCCAATGCTGCTAAATGCAGTCACAGACAGCACCGTACCATATACTTAGTAACATACACATCACACACTCTACACGTCAGAGACTGTAGGCTCTCATCAGGCGGCCTGTATGTATAGTTACTGTGAAACCTGTGATATCTGTAAGATGGGACGCTGGGCCCGTTTCCCAGCAGGTGCTGCTCCCCACCAATAGATGGACCCTCCCCCTGACCAGCTTGAAGTGACTGCTCCTACCAGCACCTCAAGCTGCCTCCGATGTCATTTGCACAAAAAAAAGAAAAAAAAAAAGACACAGGTATATGAGGACGGAGATCTGAGTGTTAAACCACCAGTACACCCGGGGCTGGCGGTGCCGCACTGCGCGCCAAGCAAGCTTTGCTTAACCACCAGTGCCTCACTTTTTTTGTTTTTGGCTGGCGCAGCCAGCGATTGTGGTCCGGAAGGCCCGGGCCTCCAAAAAATAAGCAGTGAGTCGTGAAGAAGTCTTGCAAGGCTGGTGCCTTGTACTGGCGGTTTAAGCCTGAGGGCTATAGATAGGGGAACAGGGGGTGCACCAGGAGAAATAGTGAGGTTAAAACGAATGAGGCCACATGAGCGTGATCACCAAAATGCACATAGTGCATGATCAGGATGAAGAATGGGATACTCCGCGTCGGGCACCTGTGGGACCACAAGAGGAAGGACTGGAAAACAGCAACCCAGCTTCAAGGCATCCTCCGCTATTGTCATCACACAGAAAGGCACTTGGAAACAATCATTGAAGCATTCCCTCTCGCCTGGTATAGGGTGGTCAATCAGGGCCCCACTTTGGAGGAAGGGGACTGGGTCGCTATACCAGGGGACAGGGCACGGATAGGCCGGATTCACATGGTGCGGATATCAGACGTGTTGGTGGAATATTATACCATTGGACCAAGGGGGGAGCTTCTTGGTTCCAGCAACCCCCTTGAGTGGCAAAAAAAAAACGAGGTCTTCCGAGCGCATGTGCTACAAGAGGGACAAGACTCCACAGTCTTCTCTCCCCAAACACCAATTAACGAGCTGCCCATTGACCCTCAAGAATGGCAATGGCAGACGACCCGGGGAACAGCAGCAGCGTCCGGAAAAAGAGTCCACCTTAACACCATATCTGTCAAATCCATGCATAGGATGCTAAGACCCAAGAGAGCACTAAGGGATCAAATCAACGATAGATGGGCTCAACACCTGAACGTGGATCGGTCCCTCCTCAAGCCAATTAAATGGTTCAATCGAAGCAAAGCGAGACCGACAAAAATCACGTCATTACAATGGCAGATCGTGCATCGCTGCCTACCAACCAATGCTTGGCTGATTGACCATACATACCTGTAACAAAATGGAAAAGCGCTCTCGTGGTGCCACCGATGCTTGTCTGCCTTCCCAATATAGAAAAGGAATGAAACCATTGAACATATCTTTATGCAGTGCCCGGTGGCCTTACCAACGTGGCGGTGGTGGGACCGCATCTGGAGGAAAATGGTACCGGACACCCTTTGGCCATGGTCTTGGCAAGCCATATTGACAGGACACTGCCTGACAATGGAAAGCGCCCCTACCTACACCAGCAACCTGTACAGCTTGGGTAGACGAGCTGTCCTATGGGCGCTCTGGTGGCAGCGCTGCCTATTAGTCTTGGAGGGGGTTAAAATTGAGGGCCCCGAACTGACAGGACAAAGAAGGGAGCTGGTACAATTGGAGCTCAGGCGTAGATGGAGAGATCTTAATCCACAGTTAGATATCTATCAGATAGACCAGGATATTAAGAGGGCGATTACGAGTTTCTGTAAGGAGTGGCTAGGGGGGACTGGGGTGGATGGATGGCTCGAATCGAATGGACAGGGGATCAAGCCGCTATAAGAGGACAATAAATCCGGAGAGACTACAGACTCATTTTCAATGATTGGACGCACATTGATCCATCTTTCCCGAAGAGACCCCCGTCTGATTTCCTGGACCCGTTTCCCCCTCACCCCCTTGGCCTGATGGAAGTTTTTACTTAACATTGGATCAGACAAGAATGAGATAAGCCTCCCCGGTGCCCCTTGGGCATCGCTTATCAAATGCTCACTCCTTCACAAGATACATCACCTGCTCAGT